ACCCCAGCCCCTCACTGGGGGATTCTAGGCAGGGGCTCTACCACTGAGCCACACCCCAGTCCTCACTGGGGGATTCTAGGCAGGGGCTCTCCTACTTACCCCTCTACCTTGCCCAAGACCTTTCCCTTCACCACCACTACTTCAAACCTGTACACACCCACACATTCATATCCTGTCCCTGCCATATATGCCCAGTGTAACCACAGTCCTCCTATCACACATTTGTCCTATAGTGTGTCATGACAGTTTGCCATCACCTAGTTTTAGGCCTAGGACCGTGGCTTCATGAGGCAACTCCTGTCCTCCCTTTTGGGGGCATCTGCTCCTTTTCAGCCAATGGAAGCAGACTCAAATTTGGGACTAGTAGACAAGGGAAGAAGGAGAGAAATCTAGTTGTGCATGAACGTTGTAGCCTGTACCTATTTTCTACTTCACTGAGGAAAACCTGGGTCTAGAGTCAGTTATAAAAACAAGAAAACATGGGACTAATTGGATTGCATCTTCAGGAACCCTGCCAAATGCCTCAAACCACGGGCCAGATTCCAAACTCATCCTGCTAAAAGGATTTCACACACAAAGTGCTTTTTGGAGGGTTCTTTTGCAGCTGAGCAGTGGGCCCCAATGCACATGCCTGCCAAGCAAGGGGGGAACGAGGTGAAGAGGAGCCCTGTGCATGCTGGGTGAGGGTTGCTTCACCACCTGCTGCTGCCCCATCTCCTGTTTTGTTCAAACCGTCAAATTGTCCCAAAGAGACTGGTGCTGCCCACTCTACTCTCCAAGACCAGTGGGCACATGAGTGCTCTCCCCTTTGGCACTCTTCTGGCAGGGCAGGCACTGCTCCTGATATTCTCTATACCCGGGTGTAGCTGGACACCAGGCTCTGGGGACAGCCAGCATACATCTCTTCGTCGGCTATGCTTGTTTATAATGGGGCTGGGGATGCTGCCTGCTGCCTGCTGCCCATCAAAACTCTGTGGTTCCTCGAGAGCAAACATTCACCCAGGTCTGCGAGCAATAGGTAGAAGATGAGGATGACTGCTCTTCCTAGCTAGGCCCTCCACTTTCAGGCTCCTATTCCAATGCTGTCTTCCTTATTGCATACCATGTAGGCTCCAGGGCTATAGAGCAGAGAGCAGGGAGGTATCCCAGGCCTGGCAGGAGGGT